ATATGACAAAATTTTCACAGATATAAAACTATATTTCTATTTCCTGTCAGAAACCACGCTTATCAAATTCCAAGCTTAAATGTCCAAATACTCACACACTAATTTTCTGCTCTATTCACATTATCTTTTACATTGCTGGAAAAGCTAAATGAAGATAGGGATCTTGTTTGTCTTGACTCTTTCCCTCTGAGTGCCTAGAACAGTGTCTGCAATGAATAATTTCTGAATAAATGAACAAACTAAATTACTGAATCTAAATGAGTTAAGAGTATTCAAGGAGAGCACTGGTTATAGGGGAAAGTTGTTGTGTGATTTTTCAAAAAAGTGTTGTTACAACAAGGTGATGTCAGTAAGACTTAGCCGGCCAGCTGACCTCATCCATGCCTCTTGGTCTCAGGCCTAACCTGCGAGAAGACCCCTATCAGCACCTTTCATAAAAACTGGCTAAAGGCTGAAAACTTTTCATTGCGTTGATGGACTTGTACACCTTGTTTCTTATAGCTTGATCTCTATCAATTTTGGAGGTCTATTTAAATAGTAATAATGTAGGTGACAACTGCTAACACATACAGAGTACCTACTCTGTGTCAGCACTGTGTGAGTGCATGTGAGTCCTGAACCTCTGATTTTCTGCAGGTAAAGAAGCTGAGGCTGAGAATTGACTGAAACTACATAACTAATTGGATCCATTTGCCTCCAAAGCTCAGGTCCTTTGAATGCAACTCTGTGTGGTCTGATACTTAATTTTTACTGCACTACTTTTATTGAATAAGCAGCATAGCATGATGGCTAGGAGTTTGGTAACTGGAGGAGGACTCCTTAGATCTAAATCCTACCATTTATTGGCTGTGTGATCTTGGGAAAGTCCCTTCAGGTTTTTGTCCCTTGTTACCTCATGTGTCAAATGGAGATGCTGATATACCAACCATATAGGGTATGAGGAAGATCAAATAAGTTAGCATTTAAAAAGAGCTTAGGACAACAATTGGATGTAGAACCCCTGAATTTTATTAAATAAACTCATAGTCCCCTGTTTTTGTGGATTCATTTTTCCTATATTAAATTTGTAAGCATGTGCTTACAGTTCTGTCTTAGACTGAACATTGTATTTTTTCATTGCCAGCATTTAAAATTATTAAGTTTTCCACACTTTCATAAAAATTCTGACATAAAAAGAAATATGTGGTCAGATATCAAGTTCAAAGAGCAAAGGAATAATTCTTCCTAAGCTCAATGAATCTCAGAGTCAGAGGAACACTACATGACAGCTACTTAAAATTGTCTAGGGATGAGACTGAAAAATTGGAAAATTTATCTGAGTTTTACATTCTTAGAAAAGACATTCTATTTTAAGGAAAGACCTTAAATCTTGGTCATATTGTGTACTTTTAACCCATTACCAGTCTTACCCTACTTTCTTGTTTTCATTTCAAATTAATCTCATTGTCAGTATATTAAAGAAAATAAACTGTATCTCTTCCAGTCATATGAGGTATCATATAAGGTATCACATATATCTCAAATCACCAAAATTCAAACATCGCTTTATGTTCAGGTATCCAATCCATCTTATCATTTCACTCATTACTAATCGGATAGAATGACCAGAGGTCATCTCATACCACCACTGTTCCTTTACCCTGTGGGTCGAGGACTTCCTCTGTCACAAGCATTCACAACAGATTTTGAGTCTCTTCTCTAAATAATAAAGGTAACCACCATGAAAATGGCTTTTCAAATTTTTTTCTTTCTTTTCATAAAAATTATTTAATAACTATTTGCAGTGATTCCTTGGGAAAAGTAAATTACATATTTGTATATTAATTTCTTAATTGTTTTTCTTTCTTTGCAATTCATACATAAAAAAATATGGTCTGTCTATCTTCCCTGTTTGGAATGGAAGGTTTCTAAAAAAACCTGTACACAGTCTAAGCTGTCAAAATCTTTACAATGACAGGTTTCTTTCAAAATACAAAATAATAGTAATATTTAGTCTAGAAGTTTTTTTCTGAAGGGCAAGTTCCTACATAAAAAATAGTGAGTAATTTATGACACATAGGATGTACTATAATAGAGAGAAAGAGCACAAATTTTAGAGTTAAAGAGTATGAGTTTGACTCCAAATTTAAATGTAGATTACTATGCAGAATCATTTAAATTAATTCTGTGTAATTCTTGCAACTGGCATCACATCTATCATGCATAGTTTTTAATGATGACAGGGGCATTATACAACCTAATAGTGAAGATGATGGAGTTTGGATTGAGGGAAAGACACGAACAACACTAATGGCTAAGTCACATTAACTGTGTGACATTGTGAAAACAGAATTTAAAATGATCTGTTTTATAGGGAATGATTTATTGTATAAGAATCCACTGAAGAATCTAGAACATAATGCTTGTAAAGAGCTGGGCATGTAGTGGTAAGGAAGAGTTGTAGTAATGGCATAGTTGTAGTGATAGAATGAATATCAATATTTCCACCAATATCTGAAAAGCTTGTTGAGATTTAGTCATTATCATAGTCTAGAAGATCATAATATCTAAGCAAACTATGACTAAAATATTAACTTTATAATATCATAACATCAGTAAAATGCACACAATAAAGGTATATATGCAAGTTTTAAGATGATTAGAGAATGGAATTTCCCAGTGATATTTGTGTACTTTTAAACTTATAATGACTTAGGTTCAACCATGATCTATTGAAGGCCTTTAAGGGAAAAATAAGTGAACTTCTTCTGACTCTTAAAAATAAATTCTATAGGAGAAAGGGTCATTTCTCATTGTGTTAAACTTCTTAGTCACTGACTTGAAGTATACTTTACATACTGTATATACTTAATGTAACTTAACGATATTTTCATAAATTTCCCATTTATAGATGGGGTTTGAGTATGTTAGAAAAAGATTCTAAAATCGCACAAATTTATAACAGATTTTAGCAGTTTCAACAAATAGCTACTGGAAATAATTTTTAGATAAAAATCAACTTTCATGTAATTAATCTTTATTATTCATTTACTAATGTATCCAACAGTATTGAACTGTTCATTATTAACATCTACAACATGCCTACATACCTGTGCTAGGAAATTTTATTTTGCTTGACTTCTTTAACCAAAACAACATTCCACACAGGATTGAATAAAGAAGCCAATATTAGAACTCATTTGTTTTCTATTAAGGAAAAGTGGCAAAGTATGTTACTCTTCTAATTTTACTTTTTTGGGGAAAATCATTATTTTTAAATATCATTAAATTATTTACTATTATAGTTGAATTCATAATTAAATATTTAAAAATGTCTTAGGTTTAGTTTCTGATATGGTAAGCAACAATAGTGATAATTCAAATGAATTAAGGAGGTACTTTGAGACCTTCCCGACTTTTTTTTAAGTATTTATTTATTTATGCATAATGAAATGAGGTACAGCCAGAGGTGCAGGGGCTGTGAGAGGATTCACCAGAAACAGGCAGAGAGACCAAGTACACTACTGTGGGGAGCAGTAGGTGAAACAGGAGAGGTCTGTCCCACCATGTGGATCACTTCTGGGGAAGGGGATCGAACTCTACTGAAGCTGCCACTGCTGGGCTTAGCGCCACAGTGGAGGGCCCCGCTCTATGTTTTAAGCTCATAAAGAAGTTCTGAGATGAAAAAATCTGATTCAGTGGACTGAAGTTCTGATGTGGTAGCTTCATAATGCCACTCTCAAATTTACCAATTTTTTTATAAAACTCATCTTTTTATATCTTTTTATTGAGATATAATTCACATACTATACAAGTTATCCATTAAAAGTGCATACCCATTAAGAAAATTAGAAAAATAAGTTTAAGAGTAAGCCTCGGCCCTCCCTGGTGGCGCAGCGGGTTAAAGCACAGCACTAAGAAGCTAAAGCCACTTCCCCATGAGTTTGATTCCTGCCTGCCCTGGAGGCGACCACATGGCGTGGCAGACCTCTCCTGACACGCCCGCTGCTCACCTCAGCAGTGTACTTTGTCGATCTGCCTGTTCTGCTCTCCACTCTGTCTCTGGTGAAGCCTCTCGCTACCCCTGTACCTCTGGTCTATACCCCAGTTCTGTATGCATAAATAAATAAATCTTTAAAAAAAAAAAGAGTAAGCCTCTATAATCATGCTTTTTTTACATTTTTATTTAAATTAAAAAAAAGTAAAGTGTACATCTACAGATATGTGTGACCCTCACTATAGCTAATATTGGAATATTGTATCGTCCCCCCCCACAAAAAACATTTTCATATTCCCTTTGGCACCCAGCTTTTCCTGTCTCTCCATAACCCTGAAGTCCTTTATAAACACTATCTACTTTCTGTCTATACCTCTGTTCAAGATTTTAATATTAATTAGTTGATAAGTTATTTTCTGATAAATTCTCTTATTTAACATACTATTTTCAAGGTTCATGTATGTTGTAGGAAGGATCAAAACGTTATCTTTAGTCGTATTCCACTGTGTGTATCTATGTACGATATCTACATATATAGGGCACCTATGTCTACACAGACAAATGACATATACATATATGCCACATTTGTTTTATCTATTAGTCTGGTGATAAATTGCTTCTACATTTTAGTGATTGTGGCTAATGCTGCTATTGACATGTGTATAAATCTCTTTTCAATATCTACATTCAGATCAGCTTCATGATTCAATGAAAAAATATCACAGTAATAAACAACCTCACATGACAATGACATTAGCAAGTTTACAATAAATTAAAGATAAAAATAAGGAAATTAGTAAAGGTGAACTTACCATATATTCACTGCATATTAAAACCACAAATACATAAGAACTTTATAATCTAATTTTTCAAACATCTTTTTGCTCCGCATTTCAAGCACTTGAAAAGCCCTTTTACCCATATGGCATATGAAAATTATTAATCAGACTCATCTGCATTTATATCTTGATCCTCATTATGCACCACTACTAGTTAGAGGAAAGTAGTTATGGAGAGTTTTTACCTGGATAAGGTGAGTTGGCATTGTGATGATACAGGCTGACAGAGAGGTTCGTAGGAGACCACGGAGAATGTAGAGGAACTTCATTAGATTGTGACTGCTGTCACAGTTTTCTGTACAGCAAATGTCATCCCCCCACAAAGGTGAACCAAGACTCTGGATTCCTATTCTTAAGATGTTTTTCTGCTTTTTCTAAAGGAAAGAAAGAGGGAGGTAAGCAGATTAAATCTCCTTAACAAATAGGATAACTCCTTTTAGTGAACTATAAATTGCTCAATATTTCTCATATAATTCTATAATGTGCACTGCCTTTTATTAGTTTGAAAGATACCTAAAAATGCACAATTTGGCTTTACATTGTACACTTGCTTCTACTTCTTCTTGAAGTTACTTTTACAATAATCTGCACTTAACACTTATCATGAAACTTCACAGGTAAGTATTTACAACCTGAGTCTACTGACTTTAAGATCATAATAGTGATAGATATTTCTTGGGAAAAGAGATTTAAAAACCATTAAATAGGAACACTGTAGAGGATTATTGGTGTTTTGGTAATTAACATGGTGTGAAACATACTTTTATAAAGGTTTGAATTCATAATCCCTAAAATAAATATACTGATGCAAACCAACTTTACCTCAATAAATGTAATTGGAAAATAAAGTATAATGTAAGTTAAAAGAAAAGGGGAAGAATAACACCATTAAACAAAACTTACAATGGCTGTTAATAAATGTTTGTCAGTAGATGTGTTAATTATAAATTCTATTTTGGGGATATTCTCACTTAACAAAATTTTTGTTTTCCATATATAGCCATAATATTTCCTGGTAAAACAGAATAAACACTATTAGAATTTTTTTTTTTAAAGATTAGTTTTCTTTAGATCTGGGGTGGAGGCCAAAGGTGGAGGGTTGTGAGAAGATTTACCTGGGACAGAGTGGGGAGCAGAACAGGGGGATGACTGAAAAACGCTACAGAGGGGAGCAGCAGGAGAGACAGGAGCAGTGTGCTGTGTGCCATGTGTTAGTTCCCTGGTGGGGATCGAACTTGTGAGTATAGTGGCTGCCCACAGCTTCATAGTACTGATTCTTAACCCCTTGTGACATCAGGGAAGCCTCCACTAATACAATTCTAATGGGAAAATAAAATTTATCTCCTGAAACAAAGACTTGGAAATATGTGCTCTTATATATATAATTTCTGATTAAGCACGATCATAAAATTTATCACTTGGTACTGCTATGAAATACCACAAGTGAATAACACTTAACAAACTACTAATAGTTATTGCCCAACATAATAAATCTATCTTCCTGATATTATAGGTTTGAAATTATCTATCTTCCTGATACCACAGGCTTGAAATCTGAATCCATGTAATCCTTTTCAAGGAGAAGGAAAAACTTGTAAGGGACAGTAATTAGTAAAATGAATAAGGTAGAAACTTAGAGCCTAGGCTATGGAACTAATGTAGATGCATGATTCTGAGCAAGACATACACATTACTTAGGTCTTAATTTTCTCATCTCTAAGAAAAAAATAGATATAGAATTTTAAGTCAATGCTAGCTAAATAAAAAATGAAACTTAAAAACCAGAACACAACACATGGTTTATGACACTACAGAATTCTTCAAATTTATAAAAGAATATAACAGCCTGAATAAAATGATCAACATGAGATTCGAAAAGAGGCATTTAGTCTAAGGACATTTGAAACAATAAAAGAAACTTCCTGACTTCAAGGACTGAAGTACTATCAATCATTTGGCACAACTTTGTTTTCTGATTTTAGGCTATGACACGCAACCACTTAAGATATTTTATGATCCTCAACAGTTCACAAAAATGTTTTTTACTTCTGCATTACTTGATTGACATGAAGTAATAAGATATAACAGAGCACAGGTTAGTATTAATCATACAATGATATATAAATTTAGACAATCCTCACCAAAATACCAACAATAATACTCTTTGAGGGAACTGAAAAAAGTTGAAATTTACAGTAAGCTATAGAAGGCCTTGTATAGCAAGAGCAATCAAGAGAACGATGAGAGAAGTGGAGACATCACATTACTTTACTAAAGCAATAGTAAGTAATATGATTTTAGAATAAAAATAGACACAGAAATCAGTGGAATAGAACTGAAAGCCCAGAATTAAAACCTCACACATACCTATACTTAATTTATGATAAAACAGCCACAACCATAAAATGGGAAAAGGGCAGTCTCTTTAAATGTGTGGTACTGGGAAAACAGAAACCCACAAGTAAAAGAATGAAGTTGGATCATTCTTAATCCCATACAAAAAATATGGGAATGAATTGTCCATTTAGCTGTAAGACTCCCAATAATAAAATATACAGCAAAAAACATTGGTAATATGTTTCATGAAATCAGTGATTAAGATGTTTTTTTTGAGACTTGATCTCTATGGCAAGGGAAATGAAAGCAAAAAAAAACCCCTAAGACTACGTCAAATAAAAAAAGCTTTTACACTGTGTAAAAAAAAAAAAAAAAAAATCTAAGTAGGGCCCTCCCTGGTGGTGCAAGGAGTTAAATGGCAGCACTGTGAAGCTATCTGCTGCCACTGCTGCATGAGTTGATACCCGACCAGGGAGCTGATCCTCCTCATCTTGTCTGCCGCTCCCCTCAGCAGTGTATCTCAGTTGATCTGCCTATTCTGCTCCCCACTCTGTCTATGGTGAGTCCTATTAGCCCCCAACACCTCTGACCTGTACCCAGTTCTTGTATATATAAATAAATAAATCTTTTAAAAAAGAAAATATAAGTAGACTAAAAAGCTATTCATCTAAATGATTTCTGTGTCTATTTTTATTCTTAAAAAAATATCCAATTAATACATGGGTAACAGATATGAATGGATAATTCACCTAAGATGATATCCAAAAGGCCAAAGATACACAGAAAAATGTTCATCTTTTTTTTTTTTTTAAAGATTTATTTATTTATTCACACAGAACTGGGATACAGGCTGGAGGTGCGGGGCAGTGAGAAGGCTCACCAGAGACAAGAGTGGGGAGCAGAACAGGCAGATCGATGAAGCACACTGCTGAGGGGAGCAGCAGGTGGGCCAGGAGAGGTAGGTCCCACCATGTGTATCACCTCTGGGGTGGGCGGGGATTGAACTCATGTGGTAGTGGTTTTAGCTTCTTAGTGCTGTGCTTTAACCCGTTGCGCCACCAGGGAGGGCCCCATTATTGCTTTTAACGAGAGATGCAGGTCAAAACCACAATGAGATGTCATCTCCCCACCTGTGAGCATGGCATATATTAATAAGACCCCAAGCAAGTGCTGGAGAGGAGTAGAGAAAAAAGCCTGTTAAACTGTTGGTGGGAGTATAAACTAGTGTAGTCATTTAAAAAACAATCTAGAGGACCTTAAAAAATGAAAAGTGGAGATACTGTAGACCCAGCAATGTCATTTTTGAGCAACTATCCAAAGAATGTAAAAGCATCAACTTAAAAATGATTTGCTCTACAATGTTTATTGTAGCACTAGGACATGGAAACAACATAATGCTCACTGATAAAAGATTGGATTAAGAAGATAAAAGTATAGCCACGCTATGGCATACTATTCAGTTTAGTAAAGAGAAAATGCTGCTATTTACTACAAAGTAGAAGGAATTTGAGGGAATTAATGTGTAGCAAAATAAGTCAGAATGGCAAATATGGAAAAACAGATGATTTGACAATGTAAAGTTCTCATAAGAAACACTGGAGGGGAAAGAGAATGGAAGAGTGGGGAAGAAAGCATTTTTTAAAAAATAAAAAATGGAAAATAAACAAAATTGGATAATAAACAGCTCAATTTATTTCTATGAGACAATTTAAAAGATTGAATCTGGTATTCTAAGTAAAATCAATACCCAAATATACATTTTTATTATGTACTTCTTAAGATATTTGAAAATCACAGCTTCAAAACAAATGAAAGTATGACAGCCATTTGTAAACCTCTCCATTTGCAATGTCTTCACAGATGTGTTACATGACTTTGTTTACTATCAATATTCATTTCTGGTAGTATATAATATTCTGTTTATTATCCTTTAAAAATGTAGGCTTTATTTCAGTGTCAGAATATGATTTTGACTCAAAAGTAACAGTTTTGAATTATTGCCTGATAAATGCATTTTTGTAGCTTCTTAAACACATCTAAAATTTCTAATATGCATAGACTTGTAACATAGTAAAGATACCATCTATAACTTAATAATACTGAAATTCATGAAACATACTTTAGTTTCAATAAAACTGGAAATTTATGTTTATGACAACTTACTACTATATTTACAATTTAAACATTCTTTATAGCAACCAAACATACACCTATTTCAACCTTGTGGCATCTCTATGAAAGTCAATAGAGAACTTCTAGTTCACAGAGCCTAACTAGTTCCAGTTTGTAGTCTAGCTATTTTCATGAAATAAAATGCTGTTTATTTAAAAATGGTGTTTTTTCATACTTCAATAGCCAAGGAAACAAACTTTTCATTCCACTCTATTAACAGCTTACTTATTAAAGGCTTTTTTGATATATGAGTGTTTAAATATGTGTGTATTGTCTTTGCTATTGTCTTTGCTTTTTTGCAATCTAAAAATTTCTTGCTCTTAAACGATGTGTCGTCATACTGCAAGAGCAGCAGCTCTGCACACAGCACCACTGGAACTGTTATGACATGCCTGTTTCCATAGCTACCACAGCGAGTGGGGAGAGGTGTCTATCAGGGACCAATTTACCTCTCCAGACGGGCACTGCCACCAAATGGAAGACATGGTGCCCATAAATCTTAGGATCAAAAATGAAGCAACAATGAGTGAAATAAAATTCTGTTAAATATCAAGACCAATCACAAAAGCTGAAATCTACATGAAAATTAAAAAAAAAACTGTGTGCTTTCCCACAGACACAACCCCCTATTAAAGTAATGATCAAAACAAATTTTAAAAATATTTATTTTGCCATGGAGAAGGTATCAAATATAGCAGTAAAATTTAATAAGAATATTTAAAAATCTATGAATTAAGAGCAAAGGTAGCTGATAATGCCAAAATATGATTTGGTCTTCTTTGTCTTCTTCAATAAAAATAATAGTGCTCTGAAAATAATTCTGCTAAGAATATAAAAGAAAGGCATATCTTCCACCAGCAATAAGCAATTAAAATCACTCAAGAATTGTGAAAGGCATGATATCAAGAAATAAAATTTCCCTTATTTTGTTTAAGTTAAATTAACCAGAACATCTTTAATAGTAAGGATTTAGAGGACATTTTTTAAAATAGAGTTACAGAGAGATAGTTGTTATAAAATATTTTAATATAGCAAATAAAAGTACATCTTTTATTCAATGAGACAATTCAAAGCACAGTGTAATAAGAAATAAAATCTTAAATTGATTTATTATTAATCATTACGTAATTAAAATTTAAGGCCTGAAAGATAGAAATATAAAAAATTTAGGTAGGAAAATGTTGCAAATTTAGGAGTGGTTTTGAAAATGTGTTATTAATTCCAGGAGCTACAAATACATATTTTAAAATAATGCTGGCAATGTATGTGTATATCATTTATGTGGCATTCACTGAGAACTTTGCTAAACTCTAAATTCACATTAACACAGTAAGATTATTTATGATCTGCATATTTATATCTTCTGTGCTTGGAAACAGCTTATTCACTGTTGATTATTCTAAGACGTTTTGGGTCTACCCCTCAAGAGTTTGTAACCATTACATACATGATTATAAAAGATTTTAAAGGACATTACCTTATGACTGGAACCATCAAACCCTTCTTCATAAATGATATTCTGGATAAACTGAAGTAGTTTCCTGTAGCCAGGGGTCACAGAACTGTTGGGTAAGAAGTGATACAAATACATAAATGGGTATTATACAGGAAATGCAAAATCTAAGCTAAAACATTAAATAATAAAATGCTATATATTTATGAGATTACTGAAATATAATGTAAAATGAGACAAAGTAGTATAACTCTAAAATATAAAGTCAATACATCCAGGGAATACATTACAATGCCTCATATTAACTATTTCAGAATTCTTGGGAATATAAAAATCTGTGAAGACTGAGATGGCTTAATTATGTCAGACTTAGTTATCTCTAAGAAAATTAATGATTTAATGAAGCTACCTAAAAGATGAAGCCACTATGGTTTTCAGGAGTAATCAGAGGTAATTAACACATAGTTAATGAACTGCTATGCCAAGTACACCTGAATCAATGTTCTGATCATCTGAGTTTATTTTACACTGAAATTTTAGTTTTCTTAAAAAAAAAACTGCTAAAATATTGTTACTAAAAAGACTAATCTTTTAATACAAATGAAGAAAAGTGAGCATAATCTCTACCTTGTTTCTAAAGCGACAATACAATAAATGTCCAAATTTAAGAAGATAAATTATTTCCTGCATGAATATTAGCATTATTATTATTTTGAAATATTTCACATATACTATGAAACATCTTTAAGAAGTTCAAAAAGAGGAAAGGAAATCCACTTTAGCACCTGAACTTAAGATTCTTCATAATGGGCCACCTGTATGTTAAGGTTTGACATTAAATTTAATGATAAAGAAGTTCTGGAGCATAGCTATTTAAAGACATTCAAGTGCCTAATGCTATAAATGCTCTGGGTGACCTAAAAATATAAAAATATTTGCTTTTCTGTGATCTTAAGTAAAATCACACAGGCAATAGAAATGCCCTAAAAAAGAATGAAATACAATCTGAATCATGTGTGCATTAAAGCAAACAGAAAGAAATAAAGGAGGCTGTTTAATGTATAAAATCAGTTGTAGTTGGTTCAGCAAAAAATATATGCACATCTCTGTAACCACTTCATGGTTACAGAGCCAGCCTAAAAGTACTTATCAAACAAATTCAGAGGGAGTGAGAGAGAGAGAGAGAGACAGAGAGAGAGAAAGAGAGAGAGATGTTGCTCACACAAGCGAGCTAGGGAGGGAAGGAAGGAGAGAGAGAACGAGAGAGACTATGAATAAAAAAAGTTTTATGAAAAATAAATTAATCAGGGTCAAACAGAAGGATTATTTCTCACATCGTTATTTTTCCATTTTCAATGAAAATACAAGGCCTTCTATTTCCAGTTTAAAGTATGGAAGTGTGTCTATGAATAATAAGTTTACAAGGTTGATAATATGACTATTGCATATTTTAATATATATTTGTCCCTGTTAGTTCACCCTCCAGAACACAGTGCTACTGTTTGAAAACAGTAGATTCAATGCCTATTTGGGTCAATTAGCTTTGCACAGGGGGTAAAATCTGTTCCAAGGTCCCAGATTATGAAAGGAATTCCAGCCAAACATTTGACGAATGTCACTTTGGGTTAAAAGAGGGTGGATCAACAATAAACCTACTGCATACTAATCCACCTATAATGAATCTCCTAAAATCTTATTATTTTGAATATGCAAGCAATATCTTGAACATTTCTTCCTCTGCCCCAAACTGTTCAATAATGAAATTTGCCTGAAGTACTTGGTACCAAATTTGCTATCTGAAAGCACATTATTAAATACCACACACATAAATTAAAATTTTAATTGCCTATCAACCAACCAACATGATCTAATATTTATGCCACATTTCACAGTTTATTAAGATCATTATAGTAGGTCTAATATTCTCCTCAAAAGTAGGGGTGCTATCCTTGGGTGGGAGAGCAAAAATGAAAACATATAGCTTAAAAGGCATTAATCCCTTTCCCATTTTTAATTTGGACATAAAATAATCATAAGTGGTGTTCAGTACCTTCTAAATAATAACATAAATTTCTATAAACTTATTAGATTTCTTAGAAAACAACACTTTGATAATAAAATAAAATGGAAAAAATGAATGAGTTATATCAATTGAGAATACTCATTTTTATATACAAGAGATTAGAGCAGTTAAAAAAACTAATGATATGGCAATGATACTATAATACAAAGTATTATTAATCTCTATAGGAGACATTTTCTTTCCATCAGTAGAAATACATATACATTACTTTTTTGCTGAAAATAAGTACCTTCTATTATCATAAAATAATTTTTTAAGCTTCTTAAATTTAATTTGAAAATGTTAACCTTTTTGCTTCCAGTTTAATAACTTATGAAATAGGAATTGGCAAGAAGGAAACTGAGTTACCAACATGACTCTGGCTTCCTTATTAATATTTTCAAATATTTAACAAAGGTTAGGTTTTCAAAATATGTAACAATTTTTCAACTTTCATATTAAGATAATTTATCTTGAGATTGTACAATTTGTTCTTAAAACAATAGTATGGAGAGGATAAAATAATTACTAAAACCTTAATATTTACCTTAAAATAGCAAACATTTAAAACTACTTTTAGTTAACAAATAAAATTGCTCTAATATATTATTTATATGTCTATATTATCATGTTGATTGACAGTTACTTATTTTTTAATTAATATACAAATGAAATAAAGCAGTCCAAAGGCAAAAATGTTAATTTTTATTTTGATGATCAAGTTTAATATTTTTTAAAAAACTTGACAAGGAAAAAAATGAGACTTTCCATATTTGATATCCTCATCCCCAACTGCCACATTTCAGCAAGTGATTTAGTGGATATTTACAGTAACATACTTCCAACTTAAATCAATAAATGACATTCATTTTCTGGGAAAAGTAATTTTTTCCTTTCAATATCATTGAGAACATACAACATCTGGTTGAGAAAAAGAATCAAACGCAATGTACAGAATCAAACGCAATGTACCTAGAATAGAAATCAAGTAGATAATAACAAAAAGATCATCTTATGTTTTAATCAAACAATAAACAAAGAACAAATATAACAATAACAAAAACGTGGGTAACAGGAAATAAGTTTCTATTTGTGAAATACTAAATTATAAAGATACATATGCGTGGAATTACCTAACTGTTAAGTGAAAAGTTGTGTACAAATTATTTAATAAGCTGGGGCTTTTTTCTAACAAGACTAAATAATATATCAACCAGTAAATAGCAATTAGTCAAAAACCTCTTACATTTTTTTTAACCCAAATACTGATCATAACAGTAACCTTGTGAGGTAACTATATTCATTATCACCATTTTATGATTGAAAAAAAAAAAAAGACCCATTTTCTACAACTAGGTAGAAAAAATTAAGACCCATGGTTAGACACAATTAAGTGACAGAATAATCATTTAAAGGTAGTTTTCTAAACTTTCAAGGTAATGGCTCCTTTTTATTTTTTTTTTTAAAGATTTACTTATTTATGCACACAGAATTGGGGTACAGGCCAGAGGGGCAGGCGTGGTACAAGGATTCACCAGAGACAGAGTAGGGAGTATAACAGGCAGATCGATGAAGTACACTGCTGAGGGGAGCAGTGGGTGAGACAAGAGAGGACTGCTGTGCCATGTGGGTCACCTCCAGGCAGGGGATCAAATGTGCACTGAAGCTACCACGGCTGGCGTGCAGTGCTGGTCCTAATGGGTTGCCATTCCAGGGAAGGCTGCTAACCAGGCTCTTTTAAGATTCAACCTCAGTGAGATCTAGACTCTGAAATATCTATGGGCTCAAATACACTAATGTAGTTCAGATGAGGTTTGCACAAGGCCTTTTGAACATAGTCAAGTGAAGTTTCCATTTGTATATAGTTTTAGGAAGAAATATTTCCTTTAATTGTACCTATAAGAACTTCACCATTAAGATTCACTGAGAAGCATAGATTTATTTATATATAAGCTAGGTATTAGTGTAACAGTAAAAGTATATTTAAGATCTGGGTTCTAATTCTATCTGTATCAACAACTGTAGTTCAATTGTGTTAAGAAGCAAATTTAATTCTTATATGTGGGCCTCAAAATTTTCTCAAGAGTAAAGAGACAGTATTATACCTGAAAATCTATGTTGGACATGCTCACTTAAAATTATATAGTTCAGGAATGTTTTTTCTTCTTTTAGTAGTGATTTTTCTCAAATGGCTCAATGTGGGGTTTTTAGAGAGAAAATTTTATGATGTATTTAAATATTGGTTTAGCTACTTTACAAAAACACCTAGGAAAAAGAAACTTATCATTCCCAGTTAGGATTCCTTTAAATGAAAGCTAAAATATTTTTTTTATAAAAATAACATTTATTTTTTTTTATTTTATTTTTTTATTACAAAAGTTTATTTTTACATCATTTTGTACATTTTTTTTCCATCTCAATTGTAATCCCCGCGGGTTTCCCATTACCAAGTCACCCATGTGCCATCACCATAATCCCGTGCATTTCCCTCCCCCCCCCCCCTTTTTGATCCCATTCCCCACTCCACCCCCACAAAATGTCTCTGGTATATGGTTGTTCATTATTTTTGTTATTTTCCACCTGGTCCATTATACTCCTGCTATGAGTGAAACCATCTGGTATTTTTCTTTCTCTTTCTGGCTTATCTCACTAAGCATGATCTTTTCCAGTCCATCCAAGTTGCTTCAAAAGACATGTGTTTCTCTTTTTTGGTTGCTGAGTAATATTCCATTTTATATATGTACCACATCTTTTTTATCCAGTCATCTACTTTTGGGCATTTGGGCTGCTTCCATGTTTTTCCAATTGTAAATAAAGCAGCAATAAACATGGGGGTACAGGTATCTTTTTCAATCAGTATTTTTGTATCTTTTGGGTAGATACCTAGGAGTGGGAATGCTGGGTCGTAAAGAAGCTCCATGTTTAGCAGTTTGAGGAACCTCCAAACAGTTTTCCATAGTGGCTGTACTAGTTTGCATTGCCATCAGCAGTGCAGGAGAGTTCCCTTTTCACCACATCCTCGCCAACATTTGTTGTTGCTAGTTTTT